TATATTATTGCCACATCTACAATCATCGAGAACCAAATAGGTAGGTACGTAGGAAAATGCTATGAAAACTGATACCCTATTGTTTACATATATGACCGACTCCGTGAGAGATCAACTCTACTTATTATTATTTTTTTACGTTTATTATCTCGCGTTACATTTATTTTTAAGTCGGGGTTTTTTAAATTATGTTATCCTTTTTCAATTACTTTTTAACCGTCGTGAGTTTTTTTTTGGAAAATTGTAGTTTTGGAGAAAAATGGTAACATGAATTTTCACAAGCAAACACCCTCTCACCCCAAACGCATATACCGTCTCCGTTCTGTCGCGGGTAAAAATAGAATATCTCGATATCGATTGACAGTAGGTTGAAGTAAAGTACTGAAAGCCTAATACTATATAATACTAAATAATATAATACTAAAGTACCTAATAAATAAATATATTATAAAAATAAAGAAAAACCCCGACTGCATAAAAGCTAACTAAAAAGATGAAAACAAGTTCACAATGGAATATACATATTATGCAGTCGGAGACATACACGTTTCATCCTGGCCGCAAGATGTACATACTCATATGTATGTCTCCGACTGCATATTATTATATTCCTTCGTGAACTTGTTTTGATCTTTTTAGTTAGCTTTTATGCAGTTGGGTTTTTTATTTTAATAATATACTTATTTATTTACAACTTTTTAAGTATTTTTAAGTAGGAAAATTAGCGAGAATCGTTGTTAACCAATTTAAATTATTATATATCCTAAACTGTTGTTTAAAACGAAAAATGATGAAAGAATCCTAAAAATTATTTTTAAATACCTATTCAACGATACCCCACTTGACATAGTTCGTCGATTTTAATTTTTTTTCTTTTTTACAATATGGCGTCCAAAATCGGCCATTTTGATTTTTCCACATTTTTATGCTTTCTATCACATTTACGCCGCCATGACGAATCAAACAACGTGTCATTTATCAAAATCGGCTCACGCGTTTGGTCTAAATAGTGCCACGAATGTACAAACCACATCACAAAGGTATATTTTCATGTACAATAGTGAGTGAGACTATTATCCAATATCTTCGTACGAGTCATGAATAGAAATTCTATCAATTGAAGTGGATGATTGAACATTTGCGTCTGACAAAGTGATGACGTACTTTCTATCTTGTTAGTTCTACGAGTATATGGGACGATGGTCGTGAATTCGACTTCTCTTTAGAGTGAGCTAGCTATATGTACATCTATACTGTATAAGATACAGTATAGATATACATAATAGAGCTAGCTAATTTTATAGGGACATAATATGTACCTATAAATTGTAACCAACCCAAATCTGAGTGTGTTGAATATTTTTTGAAAAATCTTATTGAAATAGACATTATTATCCATACAGATTGAAAATTAAAGAATTTTTGTCTGTCTATCTGTTTGTCTGTGACCGCATCACAAAAAAACCACTGGACAGATTTTGGTTTGGACAAGTTTGGTATGACGATAGCTGGTTATCCGGGTTAACATATAGGATACTTTTTACCGCGGGAAAATATTTCATCTTTGAGAATTCTATCTTAAAAGTTAAAAGGTAAGTAGGGACGAACCCGGGCGGAGCGAGGGTGAGTGGCTTCTCGCTAGTATGTATATAGATAGGCAAAGAGAAAATAGTTCAGTACCTTTTTCTGCTTTGTTTATTAATCGATTTTTTTTGTTTGTTTAGGAGCTATTAACGAGCTTCAGTGTTATCAATGTACTCGTATTTTAGAAACAATTTTATATTTTTTTACAAAAGCATAAGTTGAGCATCAGAATGACATAATTTAGGTAATGGGTATGGGTAAGAATGACATATTAATTTACTATTACCCCGCTTTGAGAAGTGATTACCGTTGCTTTTACAACACACTTTTGTTATTTCTACTTATAATTCTATAGTTTAAAATCTTCAATAACCCTAACTTAATTTCCCTAACTGGATATGATACTGTTACGTTCTGTGAGTTCTAGGATCGGAAATGAAAGCACGTCTTTCGCACTACAGATGTTTTATTGCTATTGGTTAGCAAGAGTGACTTATGGAAATTAATTAACCCGCGCAATATATACATATATAGATTGTTGTGGTTAATTCAGTCACTGAACACTAAATTTCACCACTAGATACACTTCCACTGTGACTTCACTCTACTTTTCTCTACTTTTTAACTTATTCTCAGTTTTCACTTAACCTCGAATATCAACTGATTTCTTGACACACTGCTGGTCTTTTTATATGCATAAATACAGAACCGAAACCTTTCTATTAAAAATTTTAATGTAAAAGATGTTTTTACATTTCATAGCATACTTGCTAATCTCGTAACAGAACAAGCTAAATTAGTTTTTAGTTTTTAGAAGCAACAGCTATGTAGATGAACATATTATGTTTTTGTGATACGATAGGTCTGACATAATCGCAAGAGATTAAAAAACCTTTAAATATTAAAGAATAATAAAAACCTTTCTAGTAATTTCGAATGTTTTGTTCCTCTCTTACTCTTACACACGGTAATTTACGATTAACTGGCCTTGTCTGTTAATTGTCATGTGTTGACATCTGTCTTAGGATTTATAAAACATGCTTCAGATGTGCCTTTTTAATTATTTTTTTTGTGTAATAACGTAACACACTCCAATACACGACAATACCATATAACTTATATATTAAATGTTTCCGCCCTTTCATGAAAAACACAGTTTATTTATACTTATAGCTTATGAAAAACAAACTAAAGTTATTTGTCAAAAAAAAGTATTATCTTACACGAAAATTATCGTAAACCAAAAAATTGAGAACTTATGTTTTTCACGAAAGAAACCAAGTAAATAAATGTTTGTAAAAAGCGTATATTTAAATAAGCCTTACCAAGCAATTTTGGAATCGTTTCCATAATACCATCAGAGCTTAGAGCTGGAATTTGTATGCATGTCGACGGTCCATTTGATAAATACGAATGATAAGTAAAAGCCCTTTCTTTAGGAGAGTCGACACGCGCTGATTTTTTGGGATATAAATTGAGACCCAAATGGGAGACATTAATTCTAGTGACATTTGCGTTTCAGTGAACTTCAATATCTAAGCAATAATTTCGGTTGCTAACGATTGTTTTGTAATTTATCCGTATAAAGAAATGTACCTACTATAGGAAAAATTTCATATTTGTTTTATATTAATAAGCTTTTATTTTATAAGAAGTTTTAATTTGGATATGTTCTTGATAATACTATAAAAACATATTGATTTACTGATTTAACTATTTAAAAAGTAGGTACTCAATATGTCTTCTTTAAGATATTTTTAGTTGTGCGTTTTCTTTTGATTACCCTTTTTTTAATTTTTCACCATGTATTTCAAAAGTAGATGTAGAATATAACATATTCACCTTTAGAATCACGATATCTTTGGATTGTTAGGAAAAAAGTATTAGGACAATTATTTAGATAATTTTATGATCTACAACTTTTGTTTGGCTTATATTTTTGATAAAATTTACAATTTTTGAGGAAAATCCAAAATAATACATTTTTTTTCCCTTTGACCAAAACTCAACACTGTCGGAGTTCTTGTTATTTGAAATGTCTATTTTGACCGGACTGCATATATATATATACTCACGAACATATACATATTATATACATACAAGTAAAAGACATAACCCTTCTTTACGGCTGTCGAGTAATAAAAGCTTGTAAAAAGCTACCTTGATTCTAGTTTTATCAACGTACATTAACGATGTTGTTACTCACGGAAGATATTATAATATAATTTTATAAGAAAATATTGCATAAATATGGAAAACAATTCCCCGGTTTAAAAAAAATAAAGCATAAAAAATCCAAGAACGATACAGTGGAGTTTGAAGAATTTTCGCAATTTCTTTTGACATACTTCCAGTTACAAATTTGCTTATCGCAAACGTACAATGCACTGAATACAAAATGCCGTGATTACGTATTCAAATACAAGAACCAGAAATGCTCTCGATAGTTTTGTTATTCAAAGAAAAATATGAAACGTTTCTAATGTCTATCGCAGCTTATATACGATGTTATATTACGTCATACCGGGTAAAGCTGATGTTTAGTTTTATTGCACCAATATTTTAAAATTGTATGTTTCTTTGCAGGACGTATAGGGAAGATCTTTGCTACTAGGTATGTAATAAGTATTTTGACCTATTTCAAAGGGATGTACTCAATTCGTGTACATTTAAAGCATATCGCGTTAAAAATGAAGCGATTTTAGGGTTTCGTCGTTTAATGCATAAATTATTAAGGGTGGCTTCATATTATTTTAAAAAAAATCCTTCTCTTAGGGTGGAACTAAACTTGGACTTTAAGTTTAGTACGTTTTTAGTTCAAAAATCTTATTTATGACTGAACTTTTTTGCATACTTTGTATAGGAAATGTAAAATGAATTTATAATGTTGTCGCTATATAACGAACTAATTCAAAGTTAGGCGCTTTTATTTATATTTTTAATTTTATAATCTTTAATTGCATATTTTTTATTGTTTTACACTTTTTAACTTAATTTTACTGATAGTCTCTTAAAAGTAACAGATTAATTAAAAAAAATACTCAATACACTTAAAATGGTACTATTATTTATTAAATTATCTACTTAAAAATAATATCTATAATTTTACATATTATTATGTATAGGTATAACTACACTTATAAATTCTTACTATATTGTAGAAAAATGTGTTTGTGGTTTGTACGTTTGTAATAAAGGACCGGAGTAAAAAAATATTTTACGTCTCAAATTAATAAAGGTTTCTTTTCATCTACACATATCGAGTAATTTCCGGGTACATTATTGTATTCGAAAACTTATTAAAGGAAGGAAGAAGGTTTACAATATTTAAAGCAGCAGGTAGATATCAGGTTGTAACAAAGCCAACGAATATTGAGTTTTTGGGAATCTTCACGAGCGACCGACCCAGCATCCTAATAAGTTGACCGTCGCGCCGTTCGTGACAGCTTTATCTTTTGAAGGTTACCTGATGTGAAAATAAAATACGACATTAGGGAAGATGTTTTATAAATTTCTCATGTTTTTGGGTTTCTACGACAAACCATATGAAATATTTTTATTTTATACCTAAAATTTTCATATCTGACTTCATAAAGTTATATACTAATCTATATGTATACATGAATAAAAATTTGCATAGAAGAAAATTAAATGAAAAAAAAATGCTAAAATAAGATTTGATGAGTGGAATAGTTTTTATCCTAGAAATCATCCCTTAAGGGGGTGAGAATGGGGATAAAAGTTTGTATGGGGAAGCAAGCTAGGGATGAACGCGAGCGAAGCGAGGGTGAGTCGCTAGTCTATACATAAAATGAATTTTCAACTGATTCGAATCTGTACATTAAATATTTTTTTTGAAAAATCTTATTGAAATAGTCATTATTATCGATACAGCGGCTGAATCTATAGATTTTAGAATTTTTGTCTGCCTGTAACTGCACCACGAGAAAACCACAGACAGATATTGATGAAATTCGGTAAGATGATGTTATCCGGGTCAACACATAGGATACTTCTTGCTAACATTTCTGCTGGAAAATATCGCATCTCTGAGAAATCTATACTAACCGTCAAAACGTACGTAGCGACGATCTGGAGTGGAGCAAGGGTAAATCGCTAGTATTTATACTATTGTTAGTAACGTATAAGTAAAGATTAATGTTGGATAAGAGAGTTAAGGCACACTGTATTCCGCCGGTGAGTCCCACATAACCACCTGTATGTCTACAGGTAGTATGTGTAAATGCATTTCTCAACATTAAAAAAACACTGTATTTACTCATAGAAATTGGCTAAAATTACAATTTTACCACATTCATAAAATAGTTTTTTGAAAAAAATTGTAATTCATGCAACACAATTTAAAGTTCTCACTGTAAAAATTACTTTAATTGGTAAACTATGTAAATAAGGTATCTAAATATGCGAGGTGTATTAGAGCCAACACTAGTGCGATGTATAAATAATTCAACGAAATGCTTGTCGTTGAGGCTCGGCTTTGCTTCGCTACATAATTCACGTGCACTGTAGATGTATCCCAGACGTATCTTTAAGCGGTCGATTTAAAAGTCACTATTTGTAGACTTTTAACTCGAATATATATAAATGATAGGTAATGTTGTATGTTAAAATCTTATTTCTGTTTTAAAATGCCACACTTTATATCGACATTTATATATTGAAATGGCGCTAAGTCTGTATTTCTATAGGTTTCAATCTATACATATAATAAAACTATAGAGGTCGAATGTCTGTACGTAGAAAAAAATGCTAAAAATCGAGCCAGGGGATGTAAAAAGACAAATAGAACGCATCCAGATTTTTTCATTTTTTTTTGTTTCTCTGTCTGTTTGTGAGATCATCGTACGTTTGTTTGTACGGGCTAATCTTCGAAACTGTTAGACCGATGTAAATGAAATTTTGCATGGTGGTACCTTTTTTTTTACATTTATTTCAGGCAATATTTATTCCCTTATATCCCCGGTCAACATTTTAGATACTTTTCATCCCGGAAAAATGAATGGTTCCTGTGGGATAGATCTGTATGTGCTTTTCTAGAGGCGAACCCGAGTGAAGCGAGGGTGAGCCGCTAATTTTAATCTTAATATAAAGATTTTTCTTTTAATTATTAATTTTAATATAAAGATTTTTCTTATAAAGATAGAAAATGGATATAATGGAAAAAAGGTATGTAATGATATGCCCGCTAACCCGCTCTTGGCCAGCGTGGTGGACTATGGCCTGATCCCCCTCGTACTGAAGGGAGGCCCGTGCCCAGCAGTGGAAAGTTAAAAAAGGTCTGAATAAATATAATAGTATAAATCTATCTACTAAAACCTTAATGTATTTTCAATTTTATTCAATACATCAATTTCATCAGAAATAAGACTATTACTATCGTTAAAATAAATGAACAAAAGTGAAAAAGCTTGTAATCATAATGCATCGAGAAAGTTTTCCAATGCTAGCTTAGTTCAGAAACAAAATAAACAAAAATACTGAGTTTTAATGTGACTTAAATTATTCGATAAAAGCACCCTAAGGATAAATATATTTATACAGTTTATTTCGAATAGAAATACTCGAAGGTACGGGGTTTAGCGTGAGCGATGGCGTTGAAACAAATTCTTATTTGTTGCAAACGATGGTGTAACTTGGTTTACCGCTTATTTACAGGAAAATGTAAAAAAGTAGGTCAAGCAATAGTTTTTTATTTGTGTATTTTATACTGTCTTCCGTTGTGATGTACGATTGTTTAATTTTGCTTTGGAAATTATACAGTAATCATACTACTTAATAAATAAATATACCGTATAGAAGTATATTTTATTTAGGTAGTAGGAAAAATTTATTTCTTTTTAAAAAAAATGAACATTAGCCAAGCATTTTTTTATTTTACAAAAAATATACACTTATTTGTATGTCAATATATGAATCTTCAAAATTTTTTTAAATAAAAATATTCCTAAAGTTGAAAAAGCCCAATAAAAAGATGAAATACTAAAATTAATGTACATCTTATATTCAAATACGGGTTGGAAGTAAGGGGAGAACTTGTAATCTAGTGCTAAAGCGTCGTTATTCAGTAAAGTATGGCTTTACGGATTAGTACGAATAATATGGAGGCGGGAGCGTTGCTGTAAAATAAGCAAGCAAAAGCGCGTCTCATATTTAAAATATATGTACATAAACTAATTATTATGTATACTCGTATATCTTTATTTATGTACTAGCGACTCACCCTCGCTACGCTCGGGTTCGTCTCTTTTCCGTTATAACGATTAGTATAGATTTCTCAGAGATGAGATATTTTTCCGCAATAAAAGGTATATATATCCCGGATAACCAGCTATCATCATACCGAATTTCATCAAAATCTGTCTTGTTGTTTTCTCGTGATGCGGTCACAGACAGACGGACAAAAAATCTTAAAACTATAGATTCGGCCTCTGTATCGATAATAATGACTAGTTCAATAAGATTTTCCAAAAAAATTATTTAATCTAGAGATTCGACTCAGAATTTTATTATATGTATAGATAGATGAAGTACTTAATATTATTTCAAATTTATACATTGTACGGTACAGTCGTAGTTTAACTCGAGACTGCCATTTTTTTCGTTGTGCTCTTTTTATTTGGAAAAATATTGACAATAAATAATAGTAATGTTTTTATGATAGTATATTGTATGGTAGATGTTAAATATTTTACGCAAAATTGTGTCATATTATATTTAACAAGAGCATTGAATTCCGTTATAATATTGTAAAAAAATATATATTATAAGAATATTAAACCCGCCTACATAAAAGCTAACTAAAAAGATGAAAACAAGTTAACGAAGAAATAAGGTATTATGCAGTCGAAGACATATTACGTATGTTCATACATTTTGTGGCAAGGAACGACGTATGCATCATCCAAAATCGGTCTACGAACGCGAACGGTCTCTAGAACGCCTTATAGGAACAAACATACATACGTACATAAATATGTACGTACATATGTACATATACATATGTACATATACATATGTACATATACATACGTATATATATATCAGTCTGATAAACACATTACCCACCTTTGCATTGCGCAATCGGGTAAAAAATGACATCATGCAATAAAAAAACTCCGTCTTTAGGGCAAGGGTGATTGTTTGAAGTAGACTCGTAAAGAAATTTTTATATACATATATGTGTGTATATTGTATAACCGATTTTTACCCATCAAAAAACCATATTTACAAACGTTTTATTATGTGTTAATCGTCCTTTCTTACCATAGTACGTTAAAATAACACTCGCAACAAATATTTTAGTAAGAAATAAAAGATTTTTTCACGAAATATTGAAATAAAATTTTGTGGTTACTTCAGTAGTTTATCTAGACTTAAACCTAAGTTAGCCTTCGGGATATGCTATCAGCTGTGAGGGACTTAGTGCTTAGCTTTGAGACACATTTTCTGATGTTCTACTCGTACTTAAGCATACTATAAAGTTATTCTCAAGGAAGCCACAAAACCAAACTTTAGATATGGATTTTACATTTAGTAATTTTGGTTTAAAATTTTAAAACATTCAGAGGAACTATTTTATGAAATTATTATAAGAAATCGCCCGGTTCTTTGAAATTACAGAATGTATTTATGTTATGATTTTTTTGCGATATCTACTTGTTTCTAACTGATTAAAATTGAAATACGAAAAATTATCAAAAATGTTTTTATTCGTGATTCTTTAAATTTACCTATTTTAATTTAAATGGCCCGTCCCGGAAATTAATTCAATCATTAATTAATCGGAAATTAAATTAATTAATCGGAAATTAATTAAAATAGCGTGACGGACACTCGAGCGATCCTTGGAGTGATTATGTACATAAACTTCAAATTTCGCCCTTCTTCCTTTTGAGGTACAGAACCTTTAAAATTGTAGCTTTCTCAGACACAAGCATCTTACGTATCAATTTTATTTATTCGTAGGTCTTAAGAGAGTATTTTTTTTAATAATCAACAATTAATAAGTACAGCTTAAGGAAAATAATTATGCATTAAACCTCGTCACATGTAAAAGCAATTTCTTAAAAAACAAAAGAGTTTTAATTGAATAATCATAAGATTTGGATAATTTCTCTCTTTATATTTTTCGGAGATTAGCCACAAATGAAGAATGTAAGAGATACTAATGTGATAAGTACGTACATATCAGAGATATCAGATTTTACGGTTATCAACCTTTAGGGTTCATTTAACTATATTTTAATACCTACTTAAATTTACGCAAATATCTGACATCTATATCGCCGCCCCCACAGAAAAAGCATGTATTATCAAAAAATTAACTTTACAGGAAAAATGATAAACGAAAAATGTTAAACAACTATGGAACTATAGTTAGTAACCACTAGATTTTAATAACATATGAAATATATTTTTTGCCGTTATCCCCATGTTTTTATTTTTTTAAATTTGCTTTAAGCATTTTTTTACAAACAGACAAAATGTATTTCACACTTAAACAAATGCCAATTAAATTTCGCTATAAACTAAAATATTTCGATAACCATGTAGTAAAACGAGTGGTAATCATGTTGGAAATGATTCGCGCATGAAAATATCAGAGGTGCGAGACCCGGGATTTGAACATGCTTCACTCGGTTTCCCAAGCGAGCGCGTTACCACTGGGCTACCACTGTCTTATTTGTGTATTATTTATTATGTGAAATTATAAACGATTATAAATGCTTGGACCTATTCAGAGATTCATTACAAAAGTTTCACAAAGATGTAAAAAAATATATTATAAATAAATAATAAATATTCTTGATTTGTTAAGTATATTTCGACTTGTTTGGTAGATTTTGTTTATTTATTTAATTTATTTAGAATTATTATTTTTATATATATTTAACATATATTTTCACATGCGGTATTCACCTTGAAAGGTAATGCATTTAGCTTTGTAACATAGTATAATTTATACTGTAACTAGCATTGCCCGCGGCTCCGCCCGCGTTCAGATGACCAAAAACTAAATTCTTAGGTGTTACATATTAGTATACTCTTACATTGCAGTTTTTGTATTTTTC